TTACTATAGCCTTACCATCGTGAAAACCATCGTGAGTGGGTTTTTTTTCTAAATAGGTCAACAGGAGTCACTGAAATCTCATTCCAATAAGAAAATAATGCATCTTTGATAGTCTTTTGTGACCTGTTTTGTTGTTTTTGAAAGAAATTTCATTGTTTTTCATCATTTATTTTCTATCCTCCTTAATTTCCTGCTCAACTAATTACTTTCCTGCTCAACTAATTACAAAAAAAAGAGTAATAATCCTCTCTTTTTCTATCGACAAATTATTTGATTTCTTCTAAGTGCTGCCTTTTTTTTCACCCAATTTGGGTGAGAAAAAGCTTTAAATAACATATCTCATATGTTACCTGCTGCTCACTCGTCAACACCTGCACGTGCTTGCGTTTAATTGGTTCCCACAGGAATGGCGCATTGTTGACAGTGCGTAAAAATTCACACCTTTGTAGAAAACCTGTGAGTGGCAGCTGCAGCGGCAGAGCCCCACCAGTCATGTGGATGTTGGGGATTTTTTTTTAGAATAAGTCTCGAGGCGGGGGGGGGGGGTGCGAGAGGGAGAGAGGGAGGGGGAGAGGAAAAAAGGGGGGAGAGAGAGAGAGAGAGAGAGACGATGGACTGTGACATACTTATAGGTTCCTGTATTCCATGGTGCATCTAGAATAAACCATACATATAAACAATCATGAATTGGCCACGCCCCTCTCGTTATCTGGGTCCTGTGATTGATGCAGGTGGAGTTTGGTAGTGTTCATTACATCAGTGTGATTAGGGAGGTCAGAATGTAATGACTTCTCCTCTTCATCCATCAGCATCTGAGCACAGAACGTCCTACACTGTGTTTCAGCCAATCCGACGTGTCGTCTCATTTTCAAATGTCATACCCAATCACAGGAGGGATCTGTCACTGTAATGACCCCGGCTGGTTGGAGCGAGTGCCATTACAGGGTGGTTACAGGTCACCACAGTTCATATATCACACACAGAGTAACCAGGACAAACACACATGCTAACGTCATCACACTGTCAAAATAGACTTTGTCTAAATGAAAAAAAAAAAAAAAAAAAAATACAAACCAACCTCCCACAATGAAAAATTGCTGTTTTTTATATAGGCTGTAATGTAAAGATGTGATGGGTTTATAAACATTCTGCAAAAAATAAAAAAATAAAAAAAATATATATATAAACCAGCTGCCAGCAGGGGGCGCTGTTCAACTGTTCCTCAATATCAAACTGCAATAGTGTTTGACACAAAATGACTGTTAGTTATTAGTTTTTTTTTTCCTCTGAAAAACTTTCTGGGTTTTTTTTTCTCTCTTTTTTTGCTACTTCCCTCCACTTCCTCCTCCTTTCTCCCTCGCTCTCTCCTCCTCCTGCTCCTCCTCCTCAGATCCCTGGCTGTCAGCAGATGAATGAACAACCGTGAGCAGGTGAATGTCCCACATTGGGCCTCCCTCTTCCTTCAATTGATCCTCCTGTCCTCCCATCAATAATCCATCACTTGTCCATCGGTCTTCATAAAAGAGAATGGAAGAAGGAGAAGAAAATTTGAGAACNAGAGTTCTTCTCAGGGCCACGCAGACACAATTATCAATTCCTCACACTCACACCAGCCACCTGCACTGCTTAAACCAAACTTCAGAAGAGTCAGAAGAAGAACCAGAGACAGGGATTAACATGGAGACGAGAAGAGATTAAAGTGAAGAGAAAATGAGGGGAAAAAGGAGAAAAACAAAACAAAACAAAACAAAACAACAGACAAAGCAATGAAACATTTCAGTTTTCCCTCCAGATCAGTCTGTGACTCTGAACTGCAAGTCACTCGTCTCCTTCTCTTCCTGCTCGTGTCCTCCTCACTATCAGCCAATCAGCATAATTACAACTCATTTATCTCTTCTACCTGCACCCAAGGCCACACACACACACACACACACAGATGGGGGAGTCATTTGAGAAATTATTACCTTAATTATGATTTATATCTGGGTCATTCATTACTATCACCTGCTGAAGGCTGAAGTGTGTGTGTGTGTGTGTGTGTGTGTGTGTGTTGTAACGAGGTGTTTAATGTGTTTCTATACATCAAGTATATTTAAAATTAATTTGTGAATTCCTGTCATTATTTCCTGCCCTTGATCTTAATCAGCATCCCTTCTTTTTTCCATTGTCTCCTCCTTTCCTTTAATAATAAATAATTAATTAATTATTTAAAAAAACAGAGGAACGGGACCAAAAAAAAAAGAAGAAAATATTAAGCAGACGTAGGAGAGGAAAAAGAAGAAATGAAAAGATGGAAGGCCAAAAAGGGGAGTAAACTGAAAGAAAAGAAGGAGGAAAGAATGAAAAAGAATGAAAGAGATGAAGGCGAGGAAGAGGAGGAGGAGGAGGAGGAGAAGAAGGAGGAAGGGAGCAAAGGACACAGGAGGATGAAGGAATGAAAAAGAGAGGGAGGATAATTGGAGAAGGAATCGGTGGAGGAGGCAGGAGAGGACGAGAAGAACAGAAATGATGAAAAATGAGAGGAGCGGAAGGAAGTGAGGGAGAGATGAAAGGAGACGGAGGGCCTTTGTGTGGCAGATGAAAGAAAAATAATTCAGTTTCACAGGAGTCAAGGCGAACGGTGAGAAAACAAACACACGCACGCGCACGCACGCACACGCACGCACAGCGTTTTATGTCATTCTTTTCCTGGGTGGATTTGTGTCATCCTCTCTATCAGTATCCAACTGTGTTTGTGCTGATTGTGTTTTTTATTTATTTATTTGTAATTAAACAAACAGATTAATTAAACGAGAGAACTAGTGAGAAAACGGTTCAGGACAGGAGGGAAGGAAGGAAGGAAGGGAGGGAGGAAGGGAGGGAAGGAAAAACAAAACAAAGAATGAAGTGAAGGAACCAGGAAAAGGAAGAGGCGCTGTTCCCAAAATCACTGACTCATTGGGCACTCACTACTCCCTCTATTGGGAATTTTATATAGTGCATTATACACCCGTTAAATGAAAAATTTGGGCTACTTCAACACGCAGTTTATTACGTCTACTGTTAAAACAGACTGACGGACGCTGCTACTCTCTTTGCATTGTCATCCATCCCAATGCATGATGGGATATATTGCTTGAGTAGTGACCACTAGATTTTGCGGTGGGATACGAGTGCCCTTTAAAGTGGAACATTTCTACTCACTAAACACCAATACAAAATGGCTGTAATGCACTGTGTGGGGCGTAGGTGGCGGTTTCGGACCTAGCCATGGACTTTAGGAAAGAAGAAAAGAAGAAGCAAAATGAAAAATAAAGTCACTTAGGGTGGAATGTCAAAGTAAGGATGGAAGTGACACTGTCACATTTTAGGTTGAAAAACATTTGAAATTTTAAAAGTGAATTGTTTGTAAGAGTGAGAAAGGTCTCACCTCCAGAGGGCACTGGTCTCCTCGCTCCTCCGTCTTCTCCTTGACTCTCATCACTGCTGCTCTTAAGAGTCATCGACGGAACAGTTCAAATCTAGTGACGGAACCAATGGTGGGACTTGGTAATAATTAGTCACAAATTAATCGTTGTTTAATAACATGAATAGTTGAGAAAGTTAGCAAATACACAGACAAATACATTCAAACAATTATGAAAAAAAAACACGTTTTGCTGAACTGCTGGTCTACTGCCTCCACTGGCCTTTATTAAGTTTTTATGAACTGCTGGTCTACTGCCTCCACTGGACAGTATGCGTAACTGTGGTAAATCTCAAAGGATTTCAAACACCGAAGTCCAAAAATACTACATTGAAATGTATTTATAGAGCAGTGGATCAACAACTGCTGTGTATCAATATTTATGAAGTATTAGGGTCTGACTTTACAGTACTCTGACCTACAGCATACACATAGTTTATATCCTAAAACAATATTTTATTCTTCTGCACCAAACCCCATAGAGAAAAGCATCGACTTTATGTCACAGAGTTTGAATATTCTCTTGTGTTACAGTACTTCTGTATTGAACATCCTTTAAGCTTCAGATTTCTGTCAACAATGACCACAGGGGGCAGCACCAGACCAGCAGCTTCTGCACACCTGTTAGCGAAAAGCACAATTAGCTTTGGTTTGGGAGTTAAAAACTTTCTTTTAAATACAATTTTAAAGTAGCATGGTTGAAACCTTTTTGAATATGTTTGGTTGTATTTCTTTTTTTTTGTAGTACTAGACAGAATGAATTCATCTGTCTGATCTACTCTGATCCACACTTAAGGAAATGTCTAGTGTTTGAACCCAGCCGTAAATTTGTAAATCTAGAAATGCTCAGTGAGATCAGTTCAAATCAACTGTGGGAGAAACATAATCTCTTTAAAGACGTTTTTATTGGCTTTTCATTCCGGGGCTTCAGCCTGATGGACGTCTTCCTCCCAGGAAGTACTTACAGCAGAAAATGAATTC